GTGACCTTGCCTCAACTGACACCACCATGGACACTCTGTTTGGAGACATGAAGGAGGAGGAGGTAAGGCTCCACGAGGGTGCCTGCTCCGGCGGGTACCAGGCACAAATCTTCAGGCACATGGCCAAAGCTCTGTTCAACAAGGACATGGGGGTGCTCACCTACTGCACCCTGATGAACAAAGACTTCCAGGAGGTCACCCTTGAAAGGGACGGAGAAATTCTGCTATGCTTTAAGGCTGCTTATGGCTTTTGGAATATCCAGAAGTGATACTGAAGCTGTAGAGCGGCAACTCCCCTGACACTTCGTGGAGGTCCTAGCCTGCGCTGGGGATGCCTAAGCGACAGGGGCCAGGACCAGGTGGAGGGCGGGCTTGCAGACAGGGCACTGCTGCGGCAGATGGAAGGCATCTACACTGCCATCCCGGTGTGGCCCCCGGAGACCAGCGCCCATGTGCAGAAGCTGTACCAGGAGTGACTGGCGGGGTGGACTGCCCCCGGGCCCAGACAGACCTGCACACCACCTAGCAGGGCCCAGGGCAGCCTGCCAGGACATCAAGTGGTAAAGGTCCAGCAGACACCCAGCCTGAAGGCTACCTAAGGATGGGTTTCAAACGCGTGAAGGAAAGGCTTAGCATCTCTGTCATTGCTTTTGCTTTTAGAATTCCCTATTCTCCATCTGTCGGCTTCCTCCCTCTAAGTGGCACTATCGTCATCACATGGGTGCAACTGGAATATTGTATCTATAGAGGATTGCCCCAATGTATGTATCCTCTTATCCAACGATGAAAAAAATCCCAAAGAACAAGAATGGAGACAGACTACTGTCCTTTAGGCTTAAAAAACACCCAGAAGTGTCCTTCTAAGAGCTGAGACTTGGTTGTGTCCACATGCCTCAGAGAGATTGGATGAGGAAATGGCCTGATTTGGCTCTGACTTTACCCACTTATGTTACTCTTGAAGGTGTCTTTGCCACAGTGTGAATAAACTGCCACCTACCTTTTGGAATAGGGGCTCATACAAAATTCTGCATTCCCAACTTCTCTTGAAACATATCTCTGTTCTGCAGCTGTGGCCACCATCCCGAGACCAGGTCCTGTCGCTGGGAATCAGGGGGCGCTGGAGTGGAGCCCCCCTGTGGGAAGCCACCTATTGTCTTCTCTAGAATAGAAGTGTGGACAAGGCTATGCACCAACTGTTTAGTCCAGACAATGGTAGCTGAAGCAACTTCCCCACCAGATAGACATGTAAATCGTAGCTGAAGCAACTTCCCCACCAGATAGTCATGTAAATCCTTACTGATAAGAATGTCTGTCTGTTACTGGAAATTGCCTGCCTAAGGCCAGAGCCCAAGTGGAGTCCTTCTTCTTCAGATGGGCTCCCGCCTGGCCCCCCCAATTTCCAAATTATTATTTCTTGTCTTGTCTCTTTCATTTGCGTGCAGCCCCTCTTCCAGAGCCCGAACCCCGCGGGATGTGGTATCATTCACATCACACCTCCCATGCCCTTTTAGGTTCAGGGATTGAGCTGAACTCACTTTGAGGGAGGCCTAGAAAGGGTGTCAGGTGTCACAGATGGAAGGATGGAGAATGGAGAGGCAGACACCCTGCTCAGTCCCTGCCTGGGTGGGGTCAGGCAGATGAAGGCTGGCCAGCCAGCCCCACAATTGGGTGAGATAGTGTCCTCTGTGTCCAGCTCTCACCCCATGGGCCCAGCCACTCCCCTCAGCTCCAGGCAGCTCTCTGCGTTCCACGACAGTGTGCTCTGCCCTCATATTTTGCTAAGCCTAAATGAGAAGGAAGAAAGCAGTTGGTACACAACTACACAGAAAAATAGGGCTCACGGCTGGCAAGTGCAGTGGCAGTGGCGGGAGCCTCTCCTGCCTCCATGGCAGTGCTAAGGAACAGCGAGCTGAATGGTAAGGAGCAGTGAGCAGGTGAGCGGTAAGGAGCAAGGAGTCCCGGACTGCGAGAGGAATTTCCAACTGCTGGCTTACGCCCATTCCCCACAAGGAATGGGCCTAAGCCAGCAGGTGGACATCCCCTGAGGGGTTCCAGATTGCAAGAGGGTGCAGGCCAGGCTGAGGGAACCCTCCCTCCAGTGCATGAGTTTCATGCCCTGGGCCTCTAGTCCTATATCTTAAAACCCTAATATGCAAATTGACGAAACAGTGGAACGACCGGTCTCTATGACATGCACTGACCACCAAGGGGCAGGCACTCATTGCAAGAGTTCTCCCCTGGTGATCAGTGTGCTCTCATAGGAGGAGCCCCACTCAGCCAGAAACCAGGCTCATGGCTGACGAGCGCAGCGGCGGTGGTGGTAGCCTCTCCTGCCTCTGCGGCAGCACTAAGGACCAATCAGGCATCCCCCAATGGGTCCAAAACTGCAAGAGGGTGCAGGCTGGGCTGAGGAACCCCCCTACCCAGTGCACGAATGTCGTGCACTGGGCCTCTAGTATAGTCAATAATCCTATATAATAAAGAGCTAATATGCTAATTTGACCAAACAGCAGAATGACCATCCAGATGATCTTCCAAATGATTCACGAATTTTGGGCATCAGGCCTCTAGTATTGTAATAACTATGTATGGAATAAGGTAGGAACTAAACTTATTGGGGAAACCATGTTGTAAATTATATAACTATCTAACTGCTATCCTATATAATAAAGAGCTAATATTCTAATTAGACCAGATGGTAGAACAACCTTCTGGAATGACCTGCCAGAACAACCAGTGGGCAAGGGGCAAGGCCAGCGAGCCTGCACTGCCTGGTCAGCTATGGTGGGCCTGGCACCTCCCCTTTCACAGAGGTGGTGGGAGAGGCAGTAGTGTGGACCTGGTCCTTCCACAGAGACAGCCGCAAAGGAGCTGGCCAAAGCCATAGTCGAACATCCCCTGAGGACTCCCAGGCTGCCAGAGGGATGTCTGACTGAGAGCTTAGGCCTGATCCCCCGGTGAAAAGGCCTAAGCTGTCGGTCGGACATCCCCCACGGGGTCCCAGACTGCAAGAGGGCGTAGGCCGAGCTGATGGACACCCAAGTGCACACATTTTTGTGCATTGTGCCTCTAGTAATATATGGCTGCAGTGAATATAAAGTATTGAATGTCTATTTAATTAAAAAATAATTTTATGAAATATGACATATCAATTAGAAAAAAATTTGCCTTGCCCTAGCCAGTTTGGCTCAATGGATAGAGTGTCGGCCTGGGGACTAAAGGGTCCCGGGTTCAATTCTGGACAGGGCAAATACCCAGGTTGAAGACTTGATCCCCAGTAGGGGACATGCAGGTAGCAGCTGATCAGTGATTCTTTCTCATCATTGAAATTTCTATTTCTCTCTCCCTCTCCCTTCCACTCTGAAATCAATAAAAACATATTTTTAAAAATTTACATTATAACTATTAAGGCAAAACAATATATCTAAGAAGTGTGCAATACTAATTTTCATCTATAGTTCTATGGCTCCTGGACCAGCAGCATCAGGAAACTCATTAGAAATGTAAATCTGGAAATCTACCCCAAATCTACGGAATCAGAAAATCTAGGGGTGAGGGCCACTATCTGTATTAACAATCCCCCTAAGTGATCCAGATGCATCCTCGAGTGAGAGAACCTCAACTCCTAAACCAGTGGCTCTCAACTGAAGCTGATTTTGCCACCCAGGGAGGTTATCAAGAGCTGGAGACATTTTTAGTTGTCATAACTGGAATGGAAAGTGTTACTGACATCCAGTGGGTTGTGATCAGGGATCCTGCTCTATATCCTATAAATGCACAGGATGGCCCCATAACAAAGAATTGTCCACTCTATAATGCCCGTTGTACCAAGGTTGAGAATCCCTTCTCTAAACTGAGCCTCCACTCTTTTGAGTGCATAAGAAATTAAACCTCACACATTGGTTTCTCTGTTTTTGGGGGCTTCATCCTCAATTCTACAGCCTAATTCTAGTTGTAGATGGACCAAAAGCAAACAGGTTCTTAATCCAGATGACTATCTTCAGTCCAGTTTTCTCTTTGGGTCCCAGTGCCAAGGTTTAGGGCTGTTCCTGTTGAAATGTTGGGGCAGGAAACTCTCCCAACCACCCTGATCCAACCAGGACAAAAATTGCTCCACACCACCAACCAGACTTTCCCATGAGACCATTGTCTGGACTGCATAGAATGTAGGCATCCTGAAACAACGTGCCAAGGTCAAGTGAAACAATAGGTACCATGATGTAATGCCCTCCTCCTAAACTTCCCAATAAATAGCCACCTCCCTGGGTCTGGGTCTTCCCACTCTCCATAAACCCAACCCAGGCTCTTCCCATCACAAACCACTTCACTTCAACTTGTACAATCAAACACAAAGTCTCTTTATTGTTTGGGTTTGGGTGGATTTAGAAAGCTCTGCTGTTAGAAGCAACATTGAATCATTTTCCCTGGTGTGGGAGTGAGGAGGAGTCAGGCTAATAGAAGTTAGTCTTTTTCTTCGAAACTCTCCCTGCCATATCATGTACACTGTGTTTAACCTAGTATTTCATACATATTAGTGTATATTCCTTTAATGTATCGAGAAAGCAGCAGAGGAGAAGATAATCTCTACAGACCTACTGAGCAGAGTCCACTTGCTGATCATTAAGAGAAAGACCATAGAAAGAGAGAAGAAGTCATCATGCTCAGAAACTATTACCTCTCTCTGGAAAATCTGACAAGGCTCTACAGATCCACACACTACGAGTTCCAGGAGAAGCCATTCTGGGCAGCATGCAGCTGATGAGAATGTCATGGAGATCCCCGGAAGTGGGGGAACTAAACCATGTGGAGTGCCTGGGGCTGCTTCAACCTGATATATCTAAGGGAAGCCAGCAGTGACTTGAGTGCAGGGACCATGGTATTGAACATCCACACTGCCTCCCCAGAGCCCACTGCTTTACTGATCATTACAATTATGTACAATTTATTTTTTCTCTCTGCCCACCCACCCATTGCTCCAGCCACATGTTGGGGACCATCTGATACTTGTTTGTAGGACAGCATCACAGAGGCACACAGTTCCACTGGTTCCAGGTACAGGGCATGCGGATATGATGCAGATTGTAACTCATTTTCTGCATTATTTTGTTATTCTTGTCAGTGTGAGAATATATGGGAAAGCCAAGGTTGTTAAGAGCCTGGGTCTGGATATAGATGACATAGGAGATGAGGCCCTGCTTCCGGTACTCAGGCAGGGTGCCTGCCATCCGTATCTCTCCTGTCTGGTCCATCAGGTCCCAGCACACAGGGTTCCCCTCAGGCCCCAGAAGACAGAACGTGGGGAACGTCTCGATACAGCGCTCGATGAATCTCTGGCTCTTCTCATTGCCACCAAAATGCCAGAATTTATTCACCAGGGCAGCATGGGTAACATCCAGGGATGAGAGTTTAAACATTTCTTGATTGCTATGGAGGTTCCAAGAGAAAAGTAAAGTCCATGAGTACTTATTATATCTGTTCTTGTCTCTATTGTCTATAATACATTTCTGAAAACAATGATTTGGCTGCTTTGAAGAATATTGACTGTAGGGAAGCAGGAGTGAAAGCAGGAAGAGAAATTGGGAGGCTACTTCAGGAATGGGAGGTGTGAGTAGTCCCATGACTTTTCTCAAACTTACATGGCCTTGGGTTTGCCACCCCCAGGTGGTAAGTTCTTTACATCAAACAGAGAAGGAATTAGTTTCTTTACAGTGTCAGCCACCGCATAGAGAAAGCGCTCTGTGTGCTTGACTTTGAAGGATTTGCTGGCTGCGAGATTTTGTATCACCTCATTCAGGTTGGACTGGGAACCTAGATGGGGTTTAGAGGAGTCATGCAATTATTTCAGTACATTTTATGGTGAAGCTGTCCAGTAGAGTGGTACATGTCTACATTTACAGTCTAAAAACCTATGTTCTATGTTCTGGCTTGGTATTGCCAATGTGTGATGGGTCATCACGTAGTCAGGATTTGTGCAATGAACATGCTCAGAGATTCATTCACAAACATGGTCATACCATTCGTGGCAATACCAAGACTGGGACCAAGTTTTCTGGGCTACATGAACATATTGTTTTCATAATCACAGGAGAGGCATTATAAAAACAGTAATAGCCAACATCTCTTGTGTGCTTACTCTGTTCATAGTATGGCAGATTGTTGCAGGAATAACCCACAATGTGCCCATGTCTCTTTGTATCTTTTCCCTGGAATAGTCCCCTCCTGCATTGCATCTGACCTTGGCCATATGACTTGCTTTTGCCAATGGAAAAGAGTAAATTCGATGTAGGGAGAGGCTAAAGAGGGCTTGCACTATGGGCTTTCTTTGTGCTCCTGGTTTCCTTGAGATCAACACCATACAGATAGAATTACGTTAGTCAGCTGAGGACTTGTGCTCCTATCATGCTGTCACCAAAGTGGCCAGCACCAGTAGCCAGAACTGTCATTTAGGCATGTGAGTGAGACCATGCTAGAGCAACCAGCTCAGAGTCCATCCATTAATACCCTGCAGCCACATGAGTAAATCTGGGTGAAACCAGCAGAAGAACTGTCTTGCAAAGCCAAGCCCAAATGTTGATTCACAGAATCATGAGGTTTGCTTTGCAGTCCAAGTTAATTGACACATCCAAGTATTGTGCTAAGCCAGTGGTCAGTAAACTGCTGCTCGCGAGCCACATGCAGCTCTTTGGCCCCTTGAGTGTGGCTCTTCCACAAAATACCACATGCGGGCGCGCATGTACAGTGTGATTGAAACTTTGTGGCCCATGTGCAGAAGTCGGTATTTTGTGGAAGAGCCACACTTAAGGGGACAAAAAGCCGCATGTGGCTTGTGAGCTGCAGTTTGCCGACCACTGTGCTAAGCAATTCCTATTCAACATTTCACCTAATCTTTTCTATTCCCTTGTGCTTTAGCTACCATTATCGTCATCCTATCTAATAAAAGACAAAAAGGGGTAATTAACCATACCTCTGCTACGCTTCCCATTGGCTAATCAGCAAGATATGCAAATTAACTGCCAACAAAGAAGGTGGCCGGCAGCCACACAGCTGAAGCAACCAGGAGTCTTGCTTGCTCCAGTGATGGAGGAAGCCAAGGTTCCCCGCCTGCCGCGGCCCGGCTCTCAGCTCTGAAAGCAACAGCTCCAAAAGCAACAAAGTTTCAACTATAGTAGCCAAACAAACCCCAGATACCTGCTTTCAGCCAGCCGTGGCCTCAGAGCTGGGAGCGCCAGTGACGGCAACAGAGTTTCAATTATAGAAGGTAAATAAATCCCAGAATAAAAAAAAAAAGAAAAAAAAAAGAGGCTGGGTGCTTCAGTCGCCGGCCAGCCTGACAACAGCACTCAGCCCCTTGGCACTCAGCCAGGCACCCCAGTGGTGACCCCCACCCTGAAGGGGGTGTGGCCAGCCTGAAAACAGCCAACAGCCCCTCATCCAGGCTGGCCAGGCACCCCAGTGGGGACCTTCACCCTGAAGGGGGTGTGACCAGCTGCAAACAGCCATCAGCCCCTCACCCAGGCTGGCCAGGCACCCACACGGGACCCCCACCCTTATCCGGGACACCCTTCAAGGCAAACCAGCTGGCCCCCACCTGTGCACCAGGCCTCTAGCCTATATAGTAAAAGGGTAATATGCAAACTGACCCTAACAGCAGAAAGACTGCGAATGACTGGTCACTGTGACACACACTGACCAGCAGGGGTCAGACGCTCAGTGCAGGAGCTGCCCTCTGGTGGTCAGTGCGCTTTCACACGGGGGAGCTCTGCTCAGCCACAAGCCAGGCTGATGGCTGCCAGTACAGCGGTGGTGGTGGGAGCCTCTCCTGCCTCCTCAGCAGCGCTAAGGATGTCCGACTGCAGCTTAGGTCTTCTCCCCGCTGGCAAGTGGACATCCTCCGAGGGCTGCTGGGCTGCCAGAGGGATGTCTGATTGATAGCTTAGGCCCAATCCCCCGGGGAGCAGGCCTAAGCCAGCAGGTGGTCATCCCCCGTGGGGTCCCAGACTGCGAGAGGGCACAAGCTGGGCTGAGGGACTCCCCCTACCCCCAAGTGCACAAATTTTTGTGCACCGGGCCTCTAGTTTTTATATATTATCTCAGGGAACATATGTCATGTGGCTAAGATGATATAGCAAGTGACAGACAAATGCTGTCCTAGGGAATGTGATTCTGGATGGCATGCTTATAACCATGACGGTTTCCTTAATGACCAAGAGGTGCTTTAAGGCAGAACTTGTCATTCTTATTCTGGGCATGGAAAGCCCTGGGACCTGAGGAGAGTTCTGCTCTGGCACCCAATCAGCCTAGGCCCGTGGTCAGCAAACTGTGGCTCGCGAGCCACATGCAGCTTTTTGGCCCCATGAGTGTGGCTCTTCCTAAGCCTTAGGAGTACCCTAATTAAGTTAATAACAATGTACCTACCTATATAGTTTAAGTTTAGAAAATTTGGCTCTCAAAAGAAATTTCAATAGTTGTACTGTTGATATTTGGCTCTGTTGACTAATGAGTTTGCCCACCACTGGCCCTAGGCAATTCTGGATATGTCTGCAAATATGGCATAAATTCTTGGCTATCAAGGAGTTACGTTGTTTCCCGTATGAAGCCCATTGTTTTGCAAGTTTGAGGGTGTCTTCCCCCATTACAGGTATATTCACAGCTGAGTAAAAAAACTGACAGCAGGCTGACGCTCTGAAGTATGGAGAAAGATAAGAGTCATAGTGGAAATTATCAGGGCAGAGAAGTGTGTCAGCACACTTCCTACTCTTCTTACTTACTTTGGATCTGCAAATGCTGTTTCCAATTGATGACTTCTGGTGAGCCAAGAAATTCCTGACAGTTCTTGGGGTCCTTGGAGTAGATTTGGTAAGTATTGGTGTAATGATCCCAATTATCAACCATCTCCTGTTGTCATTGGTGATCGGGAAATAAAGCAAATTCCATGTAGTTCATGATTGCAATACTTTTTTTTATTCCTTTACAATGTGCTATATTTAAGTACTAAAATATTGGTATTTTTATTGATGCATTACAATTATTTCTGAATCATTTAAATCGTGTGATTAAGATGAGAGACTCAAGTATTCAATTTATGATGTAAAATTTCAGAACAATACTATTTTTACCCATATATTGCATTAAAATATCAAATTAAACAAAGACATAACTACTTAGAAAGCATTCTTCTGTATTTCCATCCTCCTCCTCAGGATGGTCGACAAACAGTTGACAAGGAAAGCTTCTATTGCAAGAATAAATTTTACTACATTTGAAACAGTTGCAGAACACAAAAACTATGAACATGACAGTTTCAAATTTGGTTGTAGATTACTCTGGATTAAAATCTCCATCTATATTTAATGAAGCCAAAGAAGATGAAATCTGGTTAGAAATGCATTCTTAAAACAATACTATGGTTATACTCATTGTAGTTCTAGAAGAACAAAGAAACTGCTTACTTAGAAAGATCCCCTAAAATTATTAAAAAACAGATGAGATTGTTAAAAGAAGGAGGCACAGGAAAATATTACCAGGACTAGTGCAGAATTAAACAGCCTTTTTAAAAAAATAGTTAGAAAATGTACAACATACACTCAGTAAGCAATGATACCACTAACATATTTAAGATAAAAGTTATAATTATTTAATTTATTTTATAATTTTATGTCAGTTCAGTTTTTTGTTATTAACATAAAATTATTCATTTTATATATTGTCTAATTTAGTGGCTTTAGAAGTAATTTTTATTTGTCTGAAAGATATACTACTTGTATTTGTTATAAATTTATCATTTCACTGGATGTTTTAAAGTGAACTTATAATTTTTGTTTTTGATATATTTTTAAGAGGTTTTTTTTTATATTGAGTTGCACTAATTTTTAAATGTTTTCCCAAAATGTATATGGAAATTCTAGTATTATGAATTTACTTTTTAGAATCACCCCAACTCATTGTCCTTGCCCTTTCTTTGTCCTCTTTTCCTTATCAGCCTAAAAAATATATAATTATCTACAAAATATAGGTCAGGTAAAGGTTCCACTAAGATGTGCCTCCAAGCTTTTCCTGTGCCCTCCATCTTCAACCTCCACAGTTCAATCAGCTTCTGTCTGTGCTATTTCTGTATGTTGTGCATCATCTGTTGTTACACACTTCTTATCAAATTGTAGTTTACTTGCTTAGCCACCTTTTCCTCCAGAAGGTGAGCTACTTGAGGATGAGGATTTTTTCACCATCACTGTGATTTATTTCTCTGTTCCTTGGTTCTACATTGCCATGTGCATTGTGGGCACATATAGCAAATACAAGTGTATGATTCCACATCTGGCATCCTACCTGTTCCTGAGGGCGGACAACCACTGTATTAAAATCAGGCCATTTGTCCACCAGGGCCTTTAGCTTGAATGGGTTTCCCTGGTTCATGTGGAAAACAGTCCCATAAACCTGTACATGATGAGAAAGTGAGAAGGTCAGCTTATTAGGAAGAGATGGCCCAGTGCCCTGTTTGATCAGGATAAGAATTATTTCTATGGAGAGAAACCAAGATGGTGGCATAGGTAAACACTAGAAATTGCTGCCTCGCACATCCACTTCAAAAATTCAACTAAAAGACAAAACGGACATCATCCAGAACCACAGGAAGGCTGGCTGAGTGGAAATTATACAACTAGAAGGAAAGAGAAAAGCACACTGAGACTCAGAGGAGGTGCGGAGGAAGTAAAGTGCAGAGGTACGGAGGTGCACGTGGAAAGGGCTGGCAACTGAGGACGCGGTTGTCTTTTTCAATTGGGAGGGATTCTCAAGCTCCCGACTGCTCTGAACTCCAGTTCTGGGCAAGTCTCTGGGGACACAGACTCATACGAGGAGAAACTGGATTGTCTGGGATCGGTCAGAACTTGAGGGCGGCTTTCTCTCAGAGGTGCTTGCAGCGATTACCTGGACACTGAGACGAGGGGCCTCTTAGGGTAGGACTGAGGATCAGCCATAGCTGTTTGCTCCGCCCTGTTGATTCCCTGAGACCCCACCCCACCCAAGCTGTGCCCAGAGGCTTGTCATATGAAAGGCCTGGCCCTTTACAATCTGAAAATTACCTAACAAACTGCATCTGGGTCAGAGAGACACAGAACTTCCAAAAGAATGCCCAAGGCCCCAGAGAAGCTTGCATTGCTTCACAGCTGGGCCTCATCTGGGCATCTCCAAACCCCAAACAAAGAAGAGGAATCTGCAGATCTCTCCGTAGCTCCTGCAGGGTAGCCTCAGGCAGAGGCTAAATTAGCACCTCCTTAGATATCCAAGAGCCAGTGTACCCAGTGGTCAGAGTGGGACCATCCAGATTACAACTCTTCAGGTCCATATGGGACACACTCAGGGTGCAGACTCAGTGAGCACCAAAGCCCCACTGAAGCAAGTCTTGCCCCAGAAGGGTGTCTCCAGCACAGAAGTTCTCCCACTGTAGACACAGCTGATTCTCACAGCCAATTGGCCTGGAGGTCAATTCCTCCCAGTGATACCTACAACAATCAAGGCTTAACTACAACAAGACTGTGCACAAAGCCCACAAAGGGGTGCACCAAGAGTGTCCATCTCAGGTAATTGAGGAGGCTGAGCCACTGGGCCCTATAGGACACCTAGCACAGAAAGACACTCTATCAACACAGAGAAGCATAAAAAATGCGGAGACAAAGAAACAGGTCACAAATGACAGAAATGGAGGAAATCAAACTACTGGATATAGAGTTTAAAACCACACTTATAAGGTTTTTCAAGAATTTTCTAGAAACCACCAATAAATTTAATGAGACCCTCAAGAAATCTTGTGAGACCCTCGAGGTTATGAAAAAGGACCAACTAGAAATTAAGCATACACTGACTGAAATAAAGAATATTATACAGAGATCCAACAGCAGATTAGAGAATCGCAAGAATCAAGTCAAAGATTTGAAATGCGAAGAAGCAAAAAACAACAAACCAGAAAAACAAAAAGAAAAAAGAATTCAAAAATATGAAGATAGTGTAAGGAGCCTCTGGGACAACTTCAAGCGTACCAACATCCAAATTATGGGGGTGCCAGAAGAAGAGAGAGAGCAAGATATTGAAAACCTATTTGAAGAAATAATGACAGAAAACTTCCCCTACCTGGTGAAAGAAATAGACTTACAAGTCCAGGAAGTGCAGAGAACCCCAAACAAAAGGAATCCAAAGAGGACCACACCAAGACACATCATAATTAAAATGCCAAGAGCAAAAGACAAAGAGAGAATCTTAAAAGCAGCAAGAGAAAAACAGTCAGTTATCTACAATGGCGTACCCATACGACTGTCAGCTGATTTCTCAACAGAAACTATGCAGGCCAGAAGGGAGTGTCAAGAAATATTCAAAGTGATGAATAGCAAGAACCTACAACCAAGATTACTTTACCCAGCAAAGCTATCATTCAGAATTGAAGGTCAGATAAAGAGCTTCACAGATAAGAAAAAGCTAAAGGAGTTCATCACCACCAAGCCTGTATTATATGAAATGCTGAAAGGTATCCTTTAATGTGGGGAGCCAATATAGGGTTAAGCCTCAGACTGACCTGTTGGCAAAGTCACAAACAAGTCCCAGCTTAGAGGGCACAGTCCTCTTAGCATAATTAGGCTTGACCTTATAAAACTCCCTAGATCTTATCTGGGAAACTAATGGGCTGAGGGAAGTGCAGGAAGTGTAACTATGGTCAAAACAAGTGAAACTTAGAGGAACAGTGTAACTATGGTAGCCACTACCTTGTTTACCTCTGACTATAAAATGGTTGGTGCAGCCTGAGCACCGGTGGAAGTCCTTCCTCTTGAGTTGGACCTACCCGCCTGGCCCCCCAATATTCCCAAATTATCTCTTGTCTTTTCTCTTTCATTTGTGTGCGGCTCCTCTTCCAGATCCTGAACCCTGAACCATGCGGGATGTGGAGGGAAACATTTACAACACTTTAAGAAGAGGAAGAAGAAGAAAAAAGTAAAGATAAAAATTATGAACAACAAATACACATCTATCAACAAGTGAATCTAAAAATCAAGTGAATAAATAATCTGATGAACAGAATTAAGAATAAAGTGGTGAATATAATAGAATCAGGGGCATAGAAAGGGAGTGGACTGACTATTCTCAAGGGGGTAAGGGGTGTGGGGGTGTGAAAGAGACTGGACAAAAATCGTACACTTATGGATGAGGACAGTGGGGGTGGGGTAAGGACAGAGGGTGGGGTGGGAACCAGGTGGAGGGGAGCTATGGAGGGAAAAAAGAGGAACAACTGTAATAATCTGAACAATAAAGATTTAATTTAAAAAATTACAAAAAAATAAAAAGAATTATTTTTATGAAATTAGGGTAAGCAACTGGTAGGGCACCTGCTGCAAACTGTCTACTTTATTACTCCAATGGAAATAGATTTTAGGGTTAAATCATGGGAACATTATAAAAATATAGTCAAATATACAGATATATAAAATAGATTAAATAAAAATTATTCACGTTCACAATGTAGAATTTAGTGACATATCTTCCCATTTTATTCCACTTACTTACATAGTTACACCTAATCTACACTAATAAAAGACAAAGATGCTAATTGACCATACCTTCGCTATGCCCACCAGCCAATCAGAAGAGTATGCAAATTAACCCAACAAAGATGGCCGTTAAATTTGCATACTGCAGGTGGGGCGGATAGCGTCAGATATAGCCCATAGGATCCAGGCCACAGATCGGGGATTGGGGAGGCAGGGCAGGCAGCACCAGATGCCACCTGGGGAGGAGGAGCCAGCAATCGCCCTGGCCAGAGGCCTGAGACCTGGGCAGGGGCAGAGCTGGCAATCGCACAGGGTTGGGGGTCCCCTGCCCAGGCCTAATGCCCCACAAGAAGCCTGAGGCCTGGGCAGGGGCCGAGCCTGTGATTGGAGCAGGCTGGGAGTCCCCTGCCCAGGCCCTACACCCCAGCCAGAGGCTTGAGGCCTGGGCAGGGGCGGAGCCTGCGATTGGAGTGTGCTGGGGGTCCCCTGCCCAGGCCTAAGGCCTGGGTCAGAGGCCTTAGGCCTGGGCAGGTGATCAGAGCAGCCTGGGGGTCCCCTGCCCAGGCCTTACTCCCCTCTGGCCTGGGTAGGGGCCAGGAGCTTTGCTATCTGAGGGGGGCTAGGGGTCCCCTGCCCAGGCCCTAAATGCCCCGCCAGAAACCCTGAGGGCCTGGGTAGGGGGCAGAGCCTGCGATCGCACGGGGGCTGGGGGGTCCCCCTGCCCCAGGCCTAGCGCCCCAGCCAGGAGGCCTGAGGCCTGGGTAGGCGATTGGAGTGGGCTGGGGGACCCCTGTCCAGGCCTAACGCCCCAGCCAGAGGCCTGAGGCCTGGGAAGGGGCGGAGCTGGCAATCGCAAGGGGCTGGGAGTCCTCTGCCCAGGCCTAACACCCGGTCTAAAGGCCTTAGGCCTGGGTAGGGGCCGAGCCAGTGATTGGTGTGAACTACAGAGGAGACACCTTTTCTGACCGCTCATTGGCTAAGCTCCGTGTATTCCACTGGTAATATTCTTAGTAACTTGGGTAATAAGAATCCAAGAAGGTGATGTAGGGTTTTTCCACCTCATTCCTGGAGAAAAAAACGAAGGTCTGCTGCTGAAGGGGCTAAGAAATATCATATCCTGCCCTTGCCAGTTTGGCTCAGTAGATAATGCCTTGTCTTGCCTACCACAGGGTCTGGGTTCAATTCTGACCAAGGGCATGTACCTAGGTTGCAGGCTTTTCCCTGGCTGGGGCCCAGGTCAGTGCTCATGCAGGAGGCAACCAATCAAAGAGTTCCTTTCACTTTGATGTTTCTCTCTGTCTTTCCCTTTCTCTTCCACATTCTCTGAAAATCAATGGAAACATATCCTCAGGTGAGGATAAAAAATAATAATAAATTATTTTAATAATATCCTATGAAAGACACATCTTGAGATCTTGAATGGCTGTTTTTGGAAGTGTATACATCCAGAGACCCTGCAACCACAGCATCCAGGAATTGGCTACTGACCCAGAAACACTGGATCTAAAGCAGCGCGAATATGTGGACTCAGAGGAGCCCTGCTCCTCCTCACAGAAAGGATCGCCCAATTGGGCTCACTCGCAGAGATTGCAGGGGAAAGTTGTTTTTGTGGAACCTGGGAATCAGAGCTGGGAGTAACAATAAAAGAAACAGCTCTGTGGCAGAAACAGCTCTCCCAAACTACTGGCTAGAGAGGACTCATAGCCTCAGAGGTCAATCCAGAAACACTGCCACCCAGAGGCTGAACCACAAACTGACTCTTCTGTAAACACAAATAAAGGCAGTCTGGGAAACAAATACGGCCTGCTTTAAAATCAGGACTGTGGTTTACAAAATGGAGGAACAGTGTATCACAGGGAACTTCAACACTCTCCTGAATACCTGACAGGACTAAGGCGTGTC